TATGCAACTATAAGGTTCTATATAACATTATCATCATGTAGCAGGTCTCTCTCTCTCCCCCTCTCTCTCTCTCTCTCTCTCTCTCTCTCTCTCTCTCTCTCTCTCTCTCTCTCTCTGTCTCTCTCTCTGTCTCTCTCTCTCCTGAGTTGCCTTCTGTAGGATTATCACTCTCAGTCAGAATCCGAAGTAGAAAATCTGAGCTTTTTAACTATGAATGTTGTTGAATGTTGTATTAGGAATCGACATCACAGCACTCGAGCCACTTCCATCCCATAAATGCTCAGTCCCCATTTTTAGCAGCAAGCGAAGAGTTCCAATTCCGATGGTACCAGTAACCGTCTGATTGTATATCCGTCTCACCCTTTCCCTGAGTGTTGAGCGTCGGTCAGATTCCATGGTAACTCCTCGCAGTGCCATTCTCCTCAGACCGTAATGATCTATCTGTGCCTCCGCACTCTTCACTCGCTCGCAAAGGGCCCTCACAATGTCTAACTTGTCATTCATCAATTCACCACAAAATGGTGCAGAGCCGCCAGTTTATCTGCCAGCTCATTTCCCAACACACCGCCATCACCTGGAGAAAATATCCAAAGGAGGTTTACTACCTGGGACCTCTGAAGTGATGCTTGCCACTCTGCTTTTGAACTGAAATGCTCCAGAAAAATTCGTAGACTCTCGTAGACCAAGAAGAAGGAAAACGTCGACATCCGGCCTGACCTGAACGTCAATTAGAACTGGCTTGTAAATAGCATCCTCTCCCGAAAGCTGGGGTGTGTTGAGCACGTTAAACGCCTTGGTGATCTGAAGAGAACGGCGATGGAAGGTGCAGTTTCACGAGAAGGGGCCGACCTACGCGAATGTGGGTGCAGGACATTGAAGGAGCATTGGCTATGAAAGCACACAGGGCTGTATAACTGGCTAAAGAAAGAAAGAAAGACATTTAGGTATGAAATGAAGATAACGTCGTTCTGTAAAGGACATGCGGCTGCTGATGATGGTGATGATAATGATGATGATGATGATGATGATGAAGATGATGATGAACACAGCAGGTTCGGAATTTCCCCCATATATGCTACATTTTTAGATTCAGGAAGGCTCCAAAAGCAACGTCCGGTGCAAGATGTCTGCCTAAATCGCAATTTATTTTCATCGACGTAGTTCTCGTCAATATTCACGGCGAATGGTGGAAACTGGCAACTTTTAACATCTAGAGACATCCTGTAGCAACCCGCTTGTAAACAATCATCGGAGTCAATTGTGCAGGCTTTTGGGGCAATGGGCGGGAAGAAACATCGCTAGTCACATCTCAGTGTCATCTGTTGGGCCACACTTTTCATAAAAAGGTATTCACTTTTGCTGTGATTAAAAAATACAGAATGTGATACTGAAAAACAGAGCTCATTGCCACCTAATCAAACATTGTTATCATCCATTTACTACATATTTGTGACAGGTAAGGAAACTAATAATTATTGCTAATAATGTTATTTAAATACTTTTGTTTCGTTTCCCACTGGTTATCATCAAGTGCCTTGCCGACTGGCATGACCGATTATGCCTCTCTACAATCTACAACTGTCTATATCAATCAGTTCGAGTGTTGACAACCCCTCCATACCGTGTCAAAAGACTGTCAAGAATCTTTTCACGCTGTCTTCCTCTGTCTCTTTTTTTCCGCAGATCCTTCCAGTGGTCACAACATGTTTCATGTTCCCTCTTCTCATAAAATGACTACAAAAATTATGACTGTCTCTTTCTGATGTTCGTGAGAAGTTGTCTTAAAGCGTTCGCTTCTTTCAAAACTTCTTGGTTGCTCTTCTTAACTGTCCAAGGAAATCTAAGCATTCTTTTGTAAAACCACATCTCCGCGGCCTCGAGGTAATATTCGGCTTGTTTATTAATTGTCCAGAATTCACACTGTGTAACCACTGGTTATACTTGATAAATATTAAAATTTGTTTTTTTTTTCTTCACCATCTCATTTATATGTGTATGTGTTGCGCTTTGCCAACTGAGGTGTGTTGTGGCTATGAGTTTCGTGTCTCTGAATGCTGTGATGTATGTGAGAGTGTTATTTCTATGTGTATGTGTTGCATCTACGTTGTGCCTGTGAATGGTGTGCTTGTGTTGAGTCTGTGTATATGTATTGTGTCTATGTGTTCATGTTGTGTCTGTTAGATTACGTATGCCTGTGTATGTTCTGTCTGTGTGTGTGTTATCTGTTGTGTCTGTGTGTACATGTTGTCATTGTGTTGAGTGTATGTAAAGGTAGGCATTTGTCATCCATCATCATCATGTGCCCTGCCAACTGGTGTAGGCGCTCATACGTCTCCACAGATCACTATCCCTGATTGCCTGGAACAGCTCTGTTGATGATATCCCCCCCCCCCCCCCCCATGCTATCGTTTCAGCCTATCCAGCATTATCTCTCTTGGTCTGCCTCTACCCTTTTTTCCCACTAATCTTTCCAATTGTCACGATGTTCTCCACTGTCTCCTTTCTCATTGTGTGGCCAAAGAACAGTGTTTGTCTCTTTCGTATTGTTATAAATAGAGATCTACTTTCTTTAGCTTCCATCAAGCAATCTGTGTTAGTTACTCTAGCCGTCAGAGGTATTCGTAACATTCGTCTAGGAAACCACATCTCTGTTACTTTACAATTCTTCCTTATTTGTTCACTGACATTATAAGATTCGCTGCCATACAGCAGAACAGGCTCTATGAAACATTTTAGCACCTTCTTTTTGTCATCCATGCTTCTATATTTTTACTTTACATTTATACTATGACTTTTGATTGATGAGCATAATATACTTCATACATAAAATACAATTGCCATATGAAAGATGGTTATGGAAGGGTCAAATGTAAGAGAAATATTATTGTTTCGACCATTTGTACACTGGAGAAAAACTTTTCTGCAAAAAGCATGCAGCTAACTTGTCTCCTTTGGCAATAATATTGCCGTTATGATGGGAAACTCATTGTTGTCATAGAATCTACAGTAGAACCTCGCTTAACGAGCACCTCGCATAACGAATAATTCGCATAACGAACAAAAAAAATCGTAAAAAAAATTGATATGCTTAACGAGCGACGTTTCGCATAACGAGTGGCAAGGAGAGGGGAAGTCCCGAATTGTGCGCATGTTACATAAGTCTGTGTTTAGCACTCGTTCCAGTAGCATCATAGTGTCACTTGTGATCAAATATTTTCTCAAACTTGTGTTATATTGTGATATATGTACATGAATCATCCAGGCATACAAGATACCTCTCTGAAGAATTTAAGTTCATCAAGATCCAGTTTCTGCCTCCCAACACCACTCCGTTACTCCAGCCCGTGGACCAGCAATTTATTTTTAACTTTAAGAAGCTCTACACTAAAGCACTCTTCGAGCATTGTTTTCAGGTGACTGAAGGGACCAACCTCACACTCAAAGAGTTTTGGAGAAAAAAATCACTTCCACATCGTTGCCTGCCTCGAGATGATCGACAAGGCGGGGAAAGGGTTTACCAGGAGAACCCAACTTCTGCTTGGAAGAAGCTTTGGCAGGAGAGCATTGTCTATTTGTGATTTTGAGGGGTTCGAGACAGAACCTGTGAAACCTGTAGTCAACGAGATTGTGTCTTTGGCCACTATCATGGGGTTGAAGGTGGATAACAGTGATATCGAAGAGCTTGTGGAAGAGCACAGCCAAGAGCTGTGGAGAAAAGTTTGTCAGAGGAGGAGGTAACAGAAAAGCAACAATTTTTGGCGAAATCAGAGAAATGCTTAAATCATGGCAAACTGTTGCATCTTACATTGAGAAGCATCGTCTTAATAAGGAAGTGTCTATGCGCGTTGCAAGTTTATTTAATGATAGTGCTGTGTCGCGTCGCAAAATTTTGAAGCGTCAGCAAAAACAGATCTCTGAACATCCTTCTAGTAAAAACGAAATAATTAGCTATGTATCATAATTATTTCGGGTTTTTTTTCGCATTCCATATGGGTTCGTTACGCGTTTGAAAAAAAAAAGATGAAGATGATCCACTCTCCTTAACAATATGTATATAATTTTCTTTGAATAAACGTTATACATAGCATTTTGTGAATATCTTTTTCGACATGGAACGCATTATCGTATTTTACATGTTTTTATATGAGAAAAATGGTTTCGCATAACGAGTGTTTCACTTAACGAGTATGATTCTGGAACGAATTATGTTCGTTAAGCGAGGTTCCACTGTAATTACTTTAGGTCGTGAGTGCAGGGAATGGCCAGCTGGAGCAGCAAAATCAGTTCAACAAATGATTCATGATTATTCCCGCCCAAGTGATGTGAATATCTATACAGATGGCTCTGTGTTGAGGGGCAGACGAGGTGCATACGGATTCATAGCAAAGGCGAACGGACTTCGCTTAGTGCAGCATATAATATCACAACGTCTAGTTTGAGAATGGAGGTGGAGGCAGTCACCGCTGCCTTTCGCTGGCTTGAGAATCAGCTCTTACACACATGCCGTGATTTTAACGGACTTACAGGGCATGTTGAGAAAGGTGGAGACAGCATCACTTCAAAGGTCCCGGGTAGTTGGGATCATTTGGATGTGTTGGGAAATAAGCAGGCACATAGACTGGCCGGTTCTACACCACTTGGTGGTTAATTGATTAATGAGAAGCTAGATGTTGTGAGGACCCTTTGGGAGGGAGTGAACAGTGCGGAGGCACAAATAGATCATTACGGTCTGGGGAAAGTGGCGCTGCGAGGAGTTACTAAGGGATCTGGCCGACGCTCAACATTGAAGGGACAGGCGAGACAGATATACAATCAGTTACTGGTATCATGAGAACTGGAACTCTTCACTTGTGGCTGAGAATTGGGAGCTTAGGGCAGTGTCCCGAGAGCTTTGATGTCGATTCTTTATTCAGCATTCAACATGGATTATAATTTTGTTTCTGTAAATTTTACAGCAGGGTAACTGGCAGCCCCTGGCTGTCTGTTTTTAGAGTGTCTGCATGGGAAAGAAATCCAAAGAAGGCGGAGGGAAAAAACACAAAAAACACAAATCAAAAAAAGGTTGGTTTTGTGTGTGAAAATTTGCCACTCTTTTACATATCAGGTTGCGTCTCCACAGTGAAGGAAGATTGAAGAGGATCTCCACAACCCTCTAACTCTCGTCCTGTTTGTAAACCACTGTGGAGGCCCTTACCCCAGACTGGAAAGGAGGTGGGGTGGATTTGATTGTTGAGGGGAGCAATTTGATTGTTAAAGGGGGGGGGGGAGGGCAAAATAATTGTTGAAGGAAGCAATTTGATTGTGGGGGGGGGGGGGGAAGGGCAATACAATTGTCGAAGGGAGCAATTTTATTATTGGGGGGGGGGGGGGTAATTTGATTATTAAGGGGCAATTTGATTGTTTGGGGGGGGGGGGGGGGGACAATATGATTGTTAGGGGGTAAGTTGATTATTTAGAGGGGAAAGTTGATTGTTAAGAGGAGGAGAGTCCAATTGATTGTTAAGGTGGCTAAGTTGATTGTTGGGAAGGGGGGGGGGGGAGGATTTGACTAGTGAGGGGAGAGAGAACTTTGTTAATGGTGACATTTGATATTTAAGGGAGCAATTTGATTGTTAAGGGAGGAAAATGATTGTTAAGGGGAGCCAATTCGAAAATCGACTTATGCTGAGTTTAAGTTACATAGGGGCTTACGAATTTTGTAATCGCGTTGTGGCACTCCAATACAACTGTGCTATTTTCCTACACTGGAGGTTAGGAAAAGAATTCAGGCAAGCTATATAGAGCCAGTTGTAACATATGGCTGTGAATCATGAACAATTAATAAACAAGCCAAATAATTTATCGAGGCCTCAGAGATGTGGTTTTTACAAAAGAATCAGCATTTCTTGGATGACAAAGACAGCAACCCAGATGTTTTGAAAAAGACAAAGGCTGAATCCAACTTATCACGAACACCAGAAAGAGACAATCATCCTTTTTTAAAAGTCATGTTATGAGAAGAAGGAAGCTGGAACAGGTTGTGACCACTGGAAAGATTTATGGAAAGAGAGACACAAGAGTCCAGTGCGTAAGCGAGGTTACTTTAAAACAATTGCGTGGTGCCCTAGTATAATTGTTCTATAGTGCTACCTTTTTTAACGAGAATCTCTTTCTTTCTAGTTTTCTCACAATCTCTGTTTTGATTAATCCAGTTTATATATGACCTGGATTTTTACTGTTTACACACACACACATGTGTGCGCGCGCACACACACAGAGTGGTACACTGACGCATATAAAAATTAGCTGGGGTGGGGGAGTGGCCTTTGTTCCCAGTTTATAACGATGACATTGGATATTTTTGGATCGGTAGCTTTCTTCATCCACCAATTTATTGACCCCAACTTTTTGTTACAGATAAAAAAGACAAAAATGGTGACAAGAGTAAATCGGAATCAGAAAGAGACAGGGCAGACAGTGTAGTAACAGAGCATCATGAAACAACAGAGGAAGTAGTCAATCCAGATGAGGATAGAAAAGGAAGCATCGTGGGAAAGGGCGACAGGGCATCGCAGGTTTTAGACGAGTTAAGAAAGTCACACAGAGAGACCAGAAAGTCGTCGAGAAGAGGGTCGAGGAAAATGTCGAGACAATCTGTGACAAACGAGGGTGAAGGGAACCCTTTTGAGAACTTATCGCATTCGACTGCCGCAGCAGAAGCAGCAGCACCACCCCTGCCAGCCATGTACAGCGACATGATTAATTTGATTGATCTGAATTTGGTGGAGGAGCATGTCCTTCGCAAGGTTATCAAGAAGGATGAAGACTATAAGAAAACAGTGAATGAGAGACTTAGGTGAGCTTTCATGTCATGTCGTTGCTTTGCTCAATAAAAAAAATTGTCAAATTTTACCAGCATCCCCAAAGAGCTTTTGGATATAATTGAGACTAGGTTATTTGTGCCATAAGGTAAAGGTAAAGGTAAGAGGATCGAATTCATTGCACAGGGTTTTATCCCATATGGCTCAGTCTCTCTCTGCAGAACAGCTAGCTGCAGCCTCCTGAGAACGTCGCACAGTGCAGGACCTCCGTAACTCCGGGAACGATCCCCGGGGATCTCAGGAAAAAAAAGAACTCATGAACTGAATGGAGCCGTCATGAAAGGAACCCATGACCTTCAGAGCGCCAGGCAACCGGCTTGACCACTTTGCCGCGGAGATCTCCTTTGCGCCATATAAAATGGCTACTTGCACTGCATGCCACCAGTAGCCGTGAAGGGGACCACAGCAATATGGATGCGACCAAGGGAGATAAGACCTCATGTCATGTTTATAAAAAAGCCACAAATATCTTTGTTGGCGCTTGTCTTCTGAGAGTATTGTGTTATACTGCGTTATAAGTAAAAGTAAATGAAACATTTTTACGCCTTCAGCCCTATTTGCACAAAGGGTTAGACCAATAGGCAATCGATGGGTAATCACCCGGTCGCCTTTACTTCCCCAACTGTCTGCCTCGTGTATTTTCTATCAGTTTTGGCACAGATGATCTTCTAGCCATGATGTTAAATAAACTGTCCAGCATCTTCTCTCTCGATCTCCCTCTGCCTCTCTTTCCCCTCATCTCTCCTACTGTCACAATGTACTCCAGTTTTTTCCTTCTCATAATTTGACTAAAGAATATAGATTATCTCCATCATTATTATCTTTCACTTTGAGCGGCGTGGGAAGGAGCAGTTGGTGGTCCAGTCTTCGACGAGTCATTCCGTGTGAACTTATAAGAACTTTAACGACCACAGTCCATGTTCCTTTGTATGTGCCATTTTGTTCTCTGTTCAGCTCTCCTTAGATGCAGCCTCTGTGACGGTAACTGGGGCTACTGCGCACTAGCCATATTCCTATACTATTCCATTCTCTGCTTCTAGTATTAGATGTTAACCCCACCAGGACATCACACAAGCGATAAACACCCGATGACACAAAGTGCCACCATGTGGATGAGGATCACCCGTGGAGATGTCCCAGAAACAGCTTTCAGCCATTAGTCCATAATTATGGCAGGGCTATATTGCGGCCTCGGGGTGGAGGAACAGATAGATCATTATGGTCTGAAAAGAATGGAGCGGCAAGGAGTACAAGGAATCTGGCAGGCGCTCAACACTCAAGGAAAAGGCAAAACAGAAATACAGTCAGACAGTTACTGGTGCCATCGGAAATAGAACTCTTCGCTTGCTGCTGAATAGTATGGATGGAGCGCTTATGAGAGTGTCCCGAGCGTTGTAGTGTCGATCCTTATTTCAACATTCAACATCCTTCATGTTCCGCTAATTTGTTCCTTTCTTCTTGGTCCACAGCGTTCCAAGAATCCTTTTATAAAACGTCAACTCAACTCCGTCATTTTCTTTCTTAATGACTGCGAGACAGTCCACGACTACATCCGTATCTTGCTGCAGGGAAAATGCATGCTCTCACAATATTGACTTTGAGTTCCTTGCTGGTGCTTAACTATAGACTGTTAGGACTAGAAGAAGAAGAAACATCCACTGGTGATAACGAGAAAATTCATAGTCTGTCACCGAGCTCTTTGTGAATGTACTAAGATGGCAAAACGCTTCCCAGTATACACAGATTTCTCTGTTATATAAAATTAAACATAACGGAAACGAATTTACTTGTAGAGCTCTGAAAGAAGAACTGTTGTTCTAACTACCAGCTTCGATTTGTCCCCAGCGTTCTCGTTCGCGAGATCAAAATGATTCGCTCCTGGGAGGAAGAGACTTTAGCCAAAGAGCCACCAAAAGGAAAGAAAAAGAAACCGTTGGATGTCAACAAAATATGTGTGCGCTGTCGGAGGCCATATGGGATTCTGGGCGCCATCAAATGGGTGTTTGTAAAGAAGCCGAGATGCCAGCGGTGCAATTACTACACCTGTAAACAGTGTCGTCATAAGCAGGTCAACGGAAAATGGCTGTGTTCGCTGTGTGTGCGATACAGGTGAGACAGATAGACAGATGAGATAGATGGACAGGTGAGACAGACGCAGGTGAGACAGATGGACAAGTGAGACAGATGGACAGGTGAGACAGATGGACAGGTGAGACAGATGGACAGGTGAGACAGATGGACAAGTGAGACAGATGGACAGGTGAGACAGATGGACAAGTGAGACAGATGGACAGGTGAGACAGATGCACAGGTGAGACAGATGGACAGGTGAGACAGATGGACAGGTGAAACAGATTGACAGGTGAGACAGACAGATGGACAGGTGAGACAGACAGATGGACAGGTGAGACAGATAGACAGGTGAGAGAGATGGACTGGTGAGACAGATGAACAGGTGAGACAGATAGACAATTGAGACAGATGGACAGGTGAGACAGATAGACAGGTGAGACAGATAGACAAGTGAGACAGATGGACAGGTGAGACAGATGGACAGGTGAGACAGACAAGTGAGACAGATGGACAGGTGAGACAGACAGATGGACAGGTGAGACAGATAGACAGGTGAGACAGATAGACAAGTGAGACAGATGGACAGGTGAGACAGATGGACAGGTGAGACAGACAAGTGAGACAGATGGACAGGTGAGACAGATGGACAGGTGATACAGATGGACAGGTGAGACAGATGGACAGGTGAGACAGATAGACAAGTGAGACAGATGGACAGGTGAGACAGATGGACAGGTGAGACAGACAAGTGAGACAGATGGACAGGTGAGACAGATGGACAGGTGATACAGATGGACAGGTGAGACAGATGGACAGGTGATACAGATGGACAGGTATGACAGATGGACAGGTGAGACAGATGGACAGGTGAGACAGATGGACAGGTGAGACAGATGGACAGGTGAGATAGATGGACAGGTGAGACAGATGGACAGGTGAGACAGATGGACAGGTAAGACAGATGGACAGGTGAGACAGATGGACAGGTATGACAGATGGACAGGTGAGACAGATGGACAGGTGAGACAGCTGGACAGATTAGACAGATTCATTCAACCATTAGTTCAATTATGTACTCATTCACTCTTTGCTTGTCCCAGAGAGTTGCAGCATCTTACCGGAGAATGGTTTCCCTACAGACGATGCAAGGGCATCACCGGAAGTGAGCTTGTCATGGCTTCGCTGAGGATTTTGGGTTAGCGATAAATTCACACAAAACAAAAACATTTACTTGACACAGTCTATACTTCAGATTACTTTGAAACAGTCAGGATTTCTAATACAACCTTGTGTTTGAATGGGATTTCTTGTATTTGGGACTTAGGACATTCTGATTAGTATTATAATACAGTGCTACCTTTGTAAACATACTTAATCCGTTCCTGATCCCTGGACGTATACCAAACAGTACGTACACCAAACAAATTTTCCCATAAGAACTTGGAACTTGGATAAAGAAAACAAAAATTTCAAACGTTGTCCTCTTTCAGCCACCCGAAGGCCTGCTTTATCGAGGACGGTTTCTTTGCTGTCTGATTTTCGTTTTTTTTTTCTTTGCGGCGATTATTTTCGCCTGAGTTTCGATCTATTTGCAATCATCATGTCAGCAGCATAGGCTTGGCGGACGGTTTCCAGTTTTTGGGAGTGGAACTGGCAGCCCTGAAAAGGACTGCCAAATTTGCCTGGGGCGGCTTGGAACTTCCCATAAGAAATAAATGTAGAGTGTTTAATCGTAAAGGTAGAGTGTTTAATCATAAAGGTAGAGTGTTTAATCGTAAAGGTAGAGTGTTTAATCATAAAGGTAGAGTGTTTAATCGTAAAGGTAGAGTGTTTAATCCGTTCCCAAAAAGAAGAAATCCTATTGTTTTTGGCATGTTAAATATATAATGATTGGGTTGCATAATAATCATCATACCAAGAAGATAAAGATGGGGACGAAGCGCTTATGGGAATGCCTCAAGTGCTTTGATATCGGTTCTGGAATCAACTTAACTGAGAAAGGAGATGTTATGGCTTGCAAGAAGTGTCTTCTTCCAATACAATTTCAGGACATACATTTTTTTTCTTTCTGCTTCTTTTCACTACTTGGATTTGGTTGAGGCTCATCAAGTTTGACAGTTCCTAAAAAATATGTCCAAAGAACTGCGCTTCTTCCTTCTCCTCAGAATGTTTGGGAAATATGACATCGTCTTGTCATTACAGACAATGCTGTTACGGCATGTTTGGGCTTTGTTTCGGCACTCCCTCTCAGCATAGTGAAGGACCTCAATCCATGGCTTTGTATCCAGTTAGAGAAATGAAGATAGGGCGTGATGCTGCGACTAGTTTGGACTCATACACATTCATAATCGAAACAAAAGTCGTATATCAAGGACAAGTTTTCGCTTTAAAACAGGATATATACCGAACCGAACGTATACTGAAAAGAACTAAACCGAACCGAACATATACCAAAAAGAACATATACCGAACCGAGCGTATACCAAAAGAAGTGTACCGAATGTATACAAAACCGTGCGTATACCGAACCGAACGTATACCGAACCGAACGTATACCGAGCTAAACGTATACCGAGGTACCATTGTACTTATTTTCATACCTCATTGGTAGTCTGGCACACTAGTTGTCTGAGTGATCTGCTAACTGGCTGATGGACTCACTAACTGACTGATTGACTGATGGACTGACTAATCGACTAACTGTTTGATCGATTGACTAAGTGCATGATTGGCTGACCCAATGACTTAACTGATTGACTGACTGATTAATTGACTGCCTAATCTCACGGAATGAATGACCGTATGGTGGACTAACTGATTGACAAGTGTGTTAGACAACTGACTGAATGATTGAGTGATGGAATGATTGACTGACTTATCACGTGACTGATTGATTGTTACAGTCCTTATGACTAAATGAGGACTGTCTGACTAATTGACAGAATGAGTGATTGTTTGATGGACTACCAATTGACTAGTAGTTAGATGACTGGCTTAATGATTAACTGGTTGACTGATGGAATCATTAACTGATTGATTGATCATGCGATTGATTGACTACACTGTCCTTATGACTGAATGAGTGACTAAATTAAAAAAGAAAGGTCATAAGTCACTTATTTTTAAAATGGTTTAATTTAACTCTTTGAGTCCCAAAGAACACATTATACGTTCATAGGTTCCCGCATAGAAGCCCAATGAACGCAATATGCGCCGATTTCACATCTCTCTTCCTCTGAGGCTAAACTCCCTGGGACTCAAAGAGTTAATGTTGTTTTTTGAGGCTCGGGTTAAACTCTGAATGATATAGCTCTCAAACAGAGTTAATGTGTCAGTGACTGGCCACTAAATGACACATGTGTACATTTATTTTTAGAACAAAACCCACATCTACGAGACAAACCGGTTGTAGAGGAGGCACCGCCACCAACCCAGTTCATGAAGAAGTCGCCCAAATCGGGAAAGCACAGAATACGGCGAAAATCTTCCGTTAGAATTAGCAGAACATCTTCTCAGCCGAAAGGAAAAGGTGGAAGGAAACCGACAGTCGCCGATGCAGGTCGCAGATCAACTATGACCGCGGCACCGTTTGGACGCAGAAAATCAACCTTGAAAGATTTAGATCGCAGGAAATCCTCAGTAACCGTCGCTCAAGGGCGTCCTAGTATAGCGCAATCAGAGGTTGCAAAGGCGGAGGCAGATTCAGAACAAGCAGCGGATGCAGCAACAGTAACTGAAGGAGAGGTATCTGAAGCTGCAGAGCCATCTGAAGCAGCGGCTGAAGACAAGGATGCTGGCAACAAAGGGGGCGATGATGACGCTAATCCGTCTGAAAAGAAGAAAAATTCATCAAAGAAGGATAAGGGGAAGGATAAGGGCAAGAAAAAGGGTAAAGGAGGAAAGAAAGGGAAGGGCAAAGGGAAAGGAAAAGGAAATGTGAATGTTTCTTTTGCCACAGAAGGAAGGGGTATCTGGAATAACAGCTATGAAGAGAGAAACAGCAGAGCCACGGAAAGTAGTGGAAGTAGCCGAACGTTTACGGAATCTACCGATTCCACAAGTGTATCAAACGCAAGCAGTGACTACTCAATGCCGATTGGAACTTCGGCTGCCGAAGAAGAAAGACAACGCCGAAGAAAAATCGCGAGAAAGTTATCTGGAAGTTTCTTTGAGAAAATAAAACAACCTGTTTATTCCAGTCACTCAAATAAACACTTGGATTCTAATAAAAACGAAGATAACAAATATCAAGGTGAGCAGTTGAGCAAGTCTTCCTCTGACATCAAAAGTTGGATCACTTATGTGAACAAGAAACGACAGTTTCTGTGTAAACGACATACACACCAAGAAAGTAAGAAAAAAAGTATGGTCTCTAACCCTTACTGCTTGTCCGAGATGGAAAATGTTGGGGAACATTCAGTCAGTTTCGATACAAATGTCGTGAAAGAAAAAGCATGCCAAGAGCATTTGCAGGGCTCTTCAACAAGTAACGCCCTGACGTTAAAGACCTTATGGGAGCCGACACAGTCTATCCAGGTAGGCACACTTGACGATTTCACAAAACGTACAGATACATCAAAGCACAAACAAGACATAATTAGCACAGAAACACATCAAATTTCCAAAAGAGAGCTTTGTCCATCAGCAACTAAAAGTGACACTTTACAAAACTACGCTGATACTACTAGTTCTCCAAACAAGCAAAACAAATATTCTTCTGATATTTCAAAAATTGACAAAGACACAAGGAAGTCGACAGGAAAACACACAGAGAAAAACGATTTCAAGAAGTCAGCAAGAAAACAAGCAGATGTTGTTAATTCAAACACAATAAGAAAACACGCAGAGACTGACAATTTACAAAAGCCAATAAAATACGCGGAAAAAGCAGAATTAAGTGAAGCTGATATAAAAATAAGCAGAGAGATCAACAAAGATGACAGTGGATTGATAAAGCATTACATGAAATCCTCGCCATCACCTGAGACAATTTCACCATCTCGACTAAGTACAAAACACCGCCCTGGGAAAATACGTCCACAAACCACGAGCAACACAGAAATCAGACTTTCTGATAGTTTTGTCATTGACAAACAAGAATGTGGCAGAGATAACGGTAGTTTCCTTTTTCCACATTTGAACAAGAGCACGATGTTGCGACGGCTGAAATGTCCAGTGTCATATATGTTTGAGTATAATGCCTCGGCGTCTTCGCCTGTCATACACAATGATGATCAGTATGCACAAGATTGGAACATCAACTTTCCACACCGACCTAAGGGTAAGTATCAGTTTTGCAATTAATGCATTAAGTTCATTACTTGTACTTGCATGTCATTTTGGTAAGCATCGTTAATGTGGATGCACACAGTGAGGCTTCGAAACCAGTCTATTTCCATCGTAAGAGTTCTTACCACAGGGGCGAAAGTGACATTTCTGACACAACCATCAAATACTGCTCAGGGAATCAAACCACCCGTCTCTTCTAGAAAAATTGCTGCAGGCCTAGTTTTGGTGTTTTTTTTTTTTTTTGCACGCAAACTTGTTATCAGGTTGCAACTAGTACTATTTGACCTTTGCGGTCAAAATGGACGCTAGGCAGGGGCACTGTTTGGAGCCGAGGCAAATTTTTTTGTTTCTGCCGAACGGTGGCCGTTGCAGTTTTTCTCCATTTGTAGGCCGGACATAGTTTCATCGCTAAGTTTCTGAGTTAAATGCATGGCGTGACACTGTGAGCTGCAGGTTTCATTTGGAATTTTTTTTTTCGACTGTGACCAACGTGGTAGTGTGAATTGTTGATTCAGAAAATGGTGCGATGTCTGTCGTCGCAATTTTGGTGGTGCCCGTATGCAATTAAAATTGATCACGTATGCAACTGCTGATCTGTCGGTGACTTTTGCCACCATCGATGATGAACTGCTTTTCTAATGACGGACTGTTTGTGTTAACACTTCGGATGGCTACCATATGATTTTAATGCGTGTGTATTCTAGAAATGCTGAGACAGCAGTCTGTCAATCTTTCGAAAAAGGACTGTGATAAACATTTTGTGCGTTTTTCGTTGGCACAGGAGCGGAGCAATTATGGGGTGACCCGTTTGCTATGAAGCTGAAACTAAGATTACCAGACTACCCCCCCCCCCCACCCCCCACCCCCGCTGGTACTATAATCAAGTCGACTCTTTGTTGGCTACTGAGGATTTTCCCAATGCAGTGATGTCAATTCTTGACTGATTGATTGATAAATTGACTGATTGATTGATTCATTCAAAGAACTAATCAAACAACTATAATATAAGTGACTGCAGTTGAGCTATCTAGTCTACAGTTTGTGATGTCTTTAGTCATCATCATCATCAGTTTCCACATTTGCCTTTGAGCGTTGTGGGGAGGAACCATTGGCAATACTTTGCTTGATGGGTTGTAGTCGCTGATGTCATTCAGTATCGATGTAGAAGCTCTTCAATGTACAAAATCCAAATTCTCCTAAGACTTCCTCATGTTTTCGGACCTTTTCATGCAAATCCTATGCGTTGGCTGCATTCTTACTAAATGACCAAACCATCTGATCTTCTGCGTCTCGATGAATTTGCTGCATGGTGTTGTTTCAACATTCTGTGTGATAATATCTTTTAAAAACTATGTCTCGGATGGTTGGTGGCTTTTCTCAAGCATCTCATTCCCCAGGTGTTAATTTTACGTAGGTTAGACTTTGATAATGTCCAAGTCTGGCATTAGTAGCACAGTGCTGGTATAGATATGCTGTTTATAATCTGTTTCTTGGCGCTGATTCCTATTTTTTGATGTATTATTAATGGAGCCAGTTGGTATATAAGTGTTTCTATTTCCTGATTTAAATTCTTCAACTTGCTTCAGAAAGGCATCATTCAAGCCCATATGTAGTGGACTGTGAATTATGCTGACCGGCGTTACTTCAGTTTTAGTGGTCTGTTAAGTACTTGATAAAGATGATGAAGAATTTGGTCAAAATGTTCGTCTGTATTTGTGAGCGTCTTTTCCATTTCATCTTTTGAGTTTTCTAGTCACAATTTGTATTGTATCTTGTACTCAATCAACTCACTAACCAATCTATTAACTTGTTTAATCGAATAATAAAGTAAATTTCACTTTTCCCCAGTAGCAATTTACGGCATGTGAGTCGTGGGCTATCTCGCAGTTATGAATGACCTGGAATGCTATAGAAAGATTCTCAGAAAACCATACACAGCCGTCTTAAAAGAACTGAATGAACATTAAGGAAAATTTGCTGGTAAACAGCATCTTATCTTGGAAACTGAAATATGTTGACCATTTCAAGTGCCATTGTAGATTGGGGTGGAAAAATAGCAGAAGGCATGGTACTATGAAAGAAGGGCAGAGACAGACCAGCACAAAGCTGGACATACAGTATACGCGAAACCTTGTTTGGGTAAAAACACGAGGTGGCGAGAGACAGTTTCTTTTAGACAGACATTAATGAGAGCGACGTTCTGCAAAGGCCCTGCTACATGATGACAGTGAACCAATAATGAACAGAAACACAAACACACACATACACAAACTACCCTAATTAATTTACCAAGAAACCAGCTGTAGTCGCATCGAGTAGAAGGTATGTTCCGGTGGGGTGGAGCGGCATGGATTCAATAAAAGCGGATAAGTCGTTCGCCTCGCACTATGAAGGTCATGAGTTCGTTTCCCAGCTGCGTCGTTTGGTTCACAAGTTTTTTTTTTCTTTAATACAGAGACAGTTTTTTTACCTGCATTGTTCGATTATCTCGCCAGGCGGCTAGAGAAGAGGGGCCCAACCAAATGCGAAAACCCTGGTACAATAAAGTCGGGCAGTTGGCCTTTACCAATTTTCACATAAACATATCCGGTTTGGTTCAGATTTGAAACCACGACTTTTGGAACAGCAGGTGAACGTGTAGTCGCTTCCGTATAGCGGCTCCCGATTAACTAGCAGATAACTGATAATTATTAAACTCACTTTTGTTTTTTGAAGCAAGGTCTAAAAATACCTCTTCTGCTTTTGTAGTCTCGCTGATATCAGGTTTTAGCCCAGTGTCGAGGTTTTGTTGTCTTACTGATACCGGGTTGTAGCCCAGTGTCGTAGTTTTTTTTTTTTGGTCTCACATATACCAGGTTGTAGCCCAGTGTCGTGATTTTGTTATCTCACTGATACCAAATTGTAGCCCTGTGTCATGGTTTTGTCGTCTCACTGAAACCATGCTGTAGCCCAATGAGGTGGTTTTGTCGTCTCACTGATACCAGGTTGTAGCCCAGTGTCGTAATTTTCTTGTATCACTGATACCAGATTGTAGCCCAGTGCCGAGGTTTTGTCGTCTTACTGATACCAGGTTGTAGCCCAGTGTCGAGGTTTTGTCATTTCATTGATACCAGGCTGTAGCCTAGTGTCGTGGTTTTCTTGTCTAACTGATACCAGGTTGTAGCCCAGTGTCATGGTTTTGTTGTCTCACTGGACCAGGTTGTAGCCCAGTGTCATGGTTTTCTCGTCTCACTGATACCGGGTTGTAGCCCAGTGTCGTGGTTTTGTCATCTCACTGAAACCAGGTTGTAGCCCAGTGTCGAGGTTTTGTCGTCTCGCTGATGCCAGGTTGCAGCCCAGTGTCGTGGTTTTGTCATCTCACTGATACAAGGCTGTAACTCAGTGTCGTGGTTTTGTCATCTCACGGATACATGGCTGTAACCCAGTGTCGTGGTTTTGTCATCTCACTGATACAAGGCTGTAACTCAGTGTCGTGGTTTTGTCATCTCACTGATACCAGGTTGTAGCCCAGTGCCAAGAGGTTTTCAGCATTTGTCTCGCGCTTCTAGGGTGGCTTGGGTGATGGATTCGTTCATCTTTTTTGGAGGTTTCAGTTACACCATCTACCCATCTCTTTCTTTGTCTTCCTCTCGCCTTCTCCCCAGATATTCTGCTGTAAAAAGGCCCATATTCAGTTTAGTCTGCTGCATTATGACTAGATGGCTGAACTATTTCATCCTTTGTCTGCTAGTGTAATTTATACATGGTCTTATTCCAATTTTCTCATTTTGAACTTTCTTTGTAACCTCGTCTCTTCTTGTGTTGTTAGTGACCTTGCAGAGACAGGGCATTTCACATGTAGTTATTTCCTGTTCTAGTGCTCTATACATTGTCCATTATAAATACTTTCACCCCTTCAATCCTGACGTTTATATTAATCGTCCCAGTATGGGACGCAGTTTTTCGTTATTTTAAAGCTCCCATTCCGGCAGTTGTCGAGAGCCCTAATATAACGGAACCTATGGGTTGAACGGCGGTTTCTGGGACTTGTGCCCGGGTGGTCCTCATCTGAATTGTGGCCCTATGTGTTGGTTGCTCGTTGTACATTCCTGGTGCAGTTGAACAGCAACAACAATCCTAATGTTCTAATTTAATTAAAGCAGCCGACGTTAGAAGGCAAAATAAAACTACTAAGTCAGAGCTGAATTTCGGCATAAGCTTAGTAGGCTACAGGTTTGGGCCTCACAGTTTGCAGGGGCCTCAACAAATTCCTTCTATTTGTTCAAAAATAAAATGGTTGTTTTCAGTATGTGTATCCGCGCGCATGCCTCAATGTCAGCTCACTTCCCCTCTGTCCCACATGTAGCAAAAAGGAAGTCGAAGGCATCGAAGAAACCGGAGAAAAGCAAGACTTCGCAGAAAGGCAAGACTCCACAGAAAGGCAAGACTTCGCAGAAAGGCAAGACTTCGCAGAAAGGCAAGACTTCGCAGAAAGAGCAGCCAAATAAGAAAAGCACAGCCGTGGAGAAAGACGACAAATCAGAGAAAGACGACAAATCAGAGAAAGGCGCTAAACTGGGAAAAGGAAAGATAGAAAAAGCTGGAAGCGACAAAAAAGGGGGCAAAGCAAAGAATAAATCCAAGTCATTGGCGAAAACAGAATCCGATACCAACATGAAAGCATCATCAGAAGCTTCTAAGGTAAGCCATTATGTATTCATAGAATTTGTATCCATATGGGATTCGGAGTCCCATTTTGGGGAGACAAAGAAAAGATGCGATGTCACCTGAAAAATGTGTCGTAGGAGGCGACTAACTGGGGATGTTTTCTTCGAAGTGTGTGTGCATTTTCAGGAGAGAAGATGAACCAACATTCTACATTAAACAAATGTTTTTACCCACATTGCAAGTTCTGAAACAAGACCAAAGTCCAGAAGTGGACGAACAACCTGAACTTTTAGCCGGAGTTTATAGCTGGTAAACGCAAAAAAGAGTTAAGAGTTCTTGTGATCCACAAGCCTCCTCTTCCTCATCCCCCTTCTCTTTGACCTTCTCCTCACCTCCTCATTCTTTTCTTCTATTTCTGCTTACTCCTCCTCCTTCTCTTCCTACCAGGGCTACCAATAGGAGTTTTTTGAAAAACCCAGCTTAGCTGAACAAAAACACAAGCAATACACATACAAAGAACCAAAAAAACAAAAGAAACCCAGATTGATAAAATGTACAAAATTTATATTTATGAAACGAAACATCTACCACTTTTATATAAGGATATATATATATATATATATATAAAAGATTTCCCCCAGCGTCAAATAAAAACGCAGATCTATGGGTGGGGGAGGGGGGGGGGGGAGACAGCATTGGTAGCCCCGCTTCTTACTTTTTCTTCTTCCTTCTTCTTCTTTTTCATCCTCATCATTTTATTGTTCTTCTCTCTTGATGTTTTCGGTCTGTAAACTACGGCGGGAATTTCTGGCTGTTCGTTCATATCTGGACTTTGGTCTTGATATAGAATAGCAGGCTTATTGTATGCAGACCATTGTTTCCTTGCCTCTGAGACAGATGTACTAGGGCTTTGAAGGAAACAATCCAATTAGTCGCCTCCTACGACATGCTTGTTAGAGAGGCAGTGACTCTATATTCTTGATTCTTAAAAATTGAGCCCTGGAACTCACATGAGGAGACTTGGATGGGGGAATAGGGAGACTTGGATGGGGGAATAGGGAGACTTGGACGGGGAATAGGGAGGTGGTGTGGAGCTGACAAAACAGCCAACAGTAACTGGTGACCCAGCGACACGCAGTGTTACTGAATAATGATAATTGTGACGACGACGACGACTGTGATGATAATCATGATGATCATGACAGTTAAGACGATGATGATGGCAAAGATGATGATACCGATAGTGATGATGACGATGATGAATATGATGCTGGCGATAACGATATTGATGACGATAGTGATGATGAAGACGTCGACGATGATGATGGTGATGATGATAATGATGATGATGGTGGTGGTGCTGATAATGATGATGATGTTGATGATGATAATGATGCTGATGGTGAAGATAATAATGATTGTCACGTGACACGTCTGTCGCATGTCTCTTTTGGGTTTGCCCTAGTAATTAAAGACACTCTGAAGTGAACTACCATTAGATGGTGGCTCGCATTTGTCTAAAAGGTAATCCATAGCTTCAACGACCATCCAGCCTATCTTCAGGGGTGAGGCGACTCAAATTATGATTCCCACTGCAATAATAAAATACCTGGGCACAACTTCTTTTGACCTCCTCACCACTTAGAAGCCCCTAGACTAGACAGCAGCAAACCATTTATAGTCAAAGTATAACACGGTAATGATTCTGACCAAACAACACCACATTCACAAACAATCTAATCTAAAAGAACTGGAAAAGATTGGACACTGACAAATCAGAATCCGGAATATTAATGCATACTGTATTAAGTACAACAAAGGTAAAGACTCTGAAAAGTAAATGCAAGCTGGGACAAATCAAGGAAACTAATTAATTCAGAATTGAACTCTTCCAGAAAGACTCATGGAATGCCTACAACACTTCACAGCTCATCACTGCAAGATTTTGTTGTGACGAGAGTAAAAGAGGGTACTAGTGTCTTGGGTAGCCACAATTCCAGCGCAACACCAGTTACGTAGCTGACATGGACTTGATCCCCTCCACAATTCACAAGTCGGACTTCCACTAGGAGCAGCGCTGGACAATGAGCTAGGCATCAGCTCTGGGGTTGGAAAGTGCACTTTGCTATGCACTATCAATTAAATGGCGGCAAGCACTTAAAGTTCAAGTTCCTCAGTAGGGAAAGCTTCCCTGGATCAATTATTACAGTCAACAAATATCATAGTACTTTGCAACACTTTGGTTGGGTTTGGCAGAAGAGCAGATCATGGATTCTGTATAACTAAACATGATAATTATGAATGTGCACAAACTGTTATATGTCAAGTGTGAGGCCGGTTGTCACCTCCTGTTGCTTCACCACAAGGACTGGTTTCAGGCAATCTTCAGTACTGCTGTACTGTCCCGAGGTAGGAGTTGCTGAGAACTGCTTTGACATACAGTTGCCAGACATTGGTTCATTATGCATAGGGATTCTAGCACTTCTCCAGAGAGGTCACCACGCATCCTGTAAGCAAAGAGACACAAGGATTAGCTAACCACTAAATACTGTACCCTGTTCACTCTCACTTCACAATACAATAACAGTCAAATGTTCAGACGATAGTGCTGGGCTAGGACAGACCCAACAGGGCTGTTTACACTTCCCGGGCATTGAACTGATATCTGAGTCAGCTTGGTCGTTTAGTTTCTCCTACATTTAATTGTATACACGTGCATATGATATGTCCAGTCTGTCTGGACCATCCATTAAGGGAACATAAGAAGATAACCTCCATAGACACTAGGTAAACGCTCTGGATTCGCGCGTTTCTACAGTTTAAATCATCTGTCGGCTATGTGCAGTTGCTTCATATACTTAACCCGTCTTACACTCAGCAGCATGGCAGAGTCTTACATTTATATCAATCTACAGTGTACTTACCCATGCTCATTGGAAGTTCTAGGGTGAACTGGAAACTTTCAAAAAGGTGCTGATAGAATTTCAAGACAAGGGCGAAACTCGTCTGTATGCGCTGGAGATCGAGCCACAAATGATGATTTGAATTTGAGGCTTGCCCAAGTCAGAAGCGGAAAGAATTCCTTCCGCGAACAGGCGGTAGTTCCGCCGATAAAAATAGGCCTCGCTATTATTTGAAATCCTTTACTTGTGAGTGAATTAATAACATAACCCACTCCTAAAAGATTTAGGAACGAACTAAGTGCTTATCCCGACATCTTGACCCATAAGTACAAAAGAAGGATTATTTTACTTATGGAGGAAAGTCCAAGATTTGAAAATAGCTCATTTACCTAGAGGTGTATAAGATGTGGGTAGGTTCAAGACCAGAAGGGTGTTTTGCTGTCACGCAACAATGATGATGATAGTGGTGATGATAATAAGGATGATGGCGATTAAGACAATGGCGATGATGATAATTATGATAATGAAGATGGTGATGACGATGATGAAGATGATGTTGATTGCCATGATGATGATGATAATGGCGACGATGATGATGATGATGATGATGGGACGAAAGGCTATGTTCTTATTTTATTTGCTGAGAGACTAGAGAAATCCAACTAATGTTATTCAATTCACAGAAAAAAAAGAAGGAAAAGAGCGAAACCTTCGCGACTTTAATGTATAAACCTTCCAAACGTAAGTCTGTCTGTCTAATTGTCTTTCTAACAGTCTATCACAGCGGTTCTCAAACTGGGTGCAGCGAGCGTATGCCAGGGGTGCCGCGAGCGTATGCCAATAATCAATAATTTTTTTAAAATCTGCTTGAGATCAGAGAAGACAACAGTTTAAAACAGAAATACCACTAACAATGCCAAGATAAGTTCTGGATGTATTCAGGAGACAATGCTTTTAGCAAGGCTGCAGTTCATTCTCAACGTACAATTTACATTAAAAAAAAAAAAAACAGGTACATGAGCAAACTTTCTGGGTCAAATGATTTGAGGGTACAATTAACTAAACTTTCCATAAACATAAAGGAAATAATGAAAAATTCATCCAAACAGTTTCATTCATCGTATTAAAGACAACTGAACATTTTTTCTCTTCGTTTCCTTGGTATTCAACCCGCTTAAAGGGTAGGTGTGTAGTGAGGAAAAATGTTGCCCGACAAGGGTGCCGCGGCGAAAAAAAGTTCGAGAACTGCTGGACTATCCGTTAGTCTTACTGTTTCTTTGGCTGAATGTATGTCTGTCTCAAAAATTGTCAACTTGTACTTTCTTGTCTGTCTTCTTGACTGCCCAGTTAGGTACCTAATTAGTCAATTAGTTAATCGACAAATTATCATTATTGCACATCAGACAAGTCCATTGGTGCTTGGATCCCAGCTTCACTAAGTTAGTTAGTCGTTACGGTTCCGGCATCAAACAAGCTTGGCCCATAATTGCTCAACCGCCCATGCCGGTGATTCCAGTCACAAACTGAGTCAGATACGCTATATACTTCAAGTGAGTGCCATAGCCATACAGTGACCTTTGTCAGCAAAAAACACACGATTTGACCTAGCAAACCATAAGGTGCATGCCTCCTTAAATGACACTGCGAGACCAGGCCTCATCGCTGATAATCAACTTCATTCGAAGAATAGCTTGGCGATTAGATTAAAACTATTCCTGACCATTCTCCACATGTCCTCGGTCAAGTTGCAGCCATGGCCAGCAAATAAATAGTAGCTATAGTATACACCTTGTACCAGAAACATAACGAAGCAAAATACATCACCCATCATTGCTACTATGTACGAATCTGAAACTCAGTCAATAACTGATAATCACAGCTCGTAATGCCGTCAGGAGCACTAAACTCAGTAGCTCCGGCTACAAACCGAACTTCCGTAACCTTGCACCATCGAAACGGCAACGAGAACGGTTAACATAAGCCAGGTTTTCAACCGTCATCCATTCCCTATTAATGTCGGAATCGGAAGCAGTATATCCTCAGCGTGTGGCGACTGACAACACCAGTTCTTTGTTTGTTTACTATTCTTATTTGGCTACCCGTATAGTGTTCATGCCTGGCGACACCTCCTTTCACCTGCAGTTCTTTTAGTCTTTTGAATGTCGCCCACTCACCACGGTCTCCTAAATAGACACCTCCTCCTGCCTCCACTTCATTGAAAGCACTGTAATCATCGGCCCAGTCTATTGCTTTTCCAGCAAGCCAGTCCGCTCGTTTACTTCCTCTTACACCGGAGGCCCTGATTCGAAATGAAAGTTATTCCGGTCAGACGAGATTTCAGATTCTCTCCGCGATTCCAACCACTGTCTCGATCTTCTTAAGCATGCTCATGAAATCATATATCAGTTGTCTTATTGTCAGTATATGTCCTTCTGTATGACTGTCGGTATGTTTGTTGGTATGTCTGTTAGTTCGTCTGGCTGACTGTCTACTGCTTGCCCCCTTTGCCTCTCCACGTGTAAATAAGCACACACTTATGTCTGTCTGTCTGTCTGTCTGTCTGTCTGTCTGTCTGTCTGTCTGTCTGTCTGTCTGTCTGTCTGTCTGTCTGTCTGTCTGTCTGTCTGTCTGTCTGTCTGTCTGTCTGTCTGTCTGTCTGTCTGTCTGTCTGTCTGTATTTATGTGTGTATGTATGTTTGTATTTATGTATGTATTTAGGAATGTGTATCGTCTTCATCTAGCTGTAGTTGTTGTTGTTGTTGTTGTTGTTGTTGTTGTTGTTGTTGTTGTTCTTCTTCTTCTTCTTCTTCTTCTTCTTCTTCTTCTTCTTCTTCTTCTTCTTCTTCTTCTTCTTCTTCTTCTTCTTCTTCTTCTTCTTCTTCTTCTTCTTCTTCCTCTTCTTCTTCTACTTCTTTTTCTTCTTCTACTTCTTCTTGTTCTTTTTCTACTACTACTACTACTACTACTACTACTACTACTACTACTACTACTACTACTACTACTACTACTACTACTACTACTACTACTACTACTACTACTACTACTACTACTACTACTACTACTACTACTACTACTACTACTACTACTACTACTACTACTACTACTACTACTACTACTACTACTACTACTACCACCACCACCACCACCACTACTACTACTACTACTACTACTACTACTACTACTACTACTACTACTACTACTACTACTACTACTACTACTACTACTACTACTACTACTACTACTACTACTTTTTCTTCTTTTTTCTTCTTCTTCTCATTCTTCGTCTTCTCTTTTTCTGCTTCTTTTTGTTTTTTGCTCTCGTTTTCCTAATTCTTTTAAGGTCTTGTGTATCCACATACCTAGTTAGCCTACATTAATATCAAAATCTGTCAGTACTGACACACTTTCAATTGATCGCTCTGCCCCACGACCCTTTTGCAGTAGGCCTAGACTTTCTCAGTTCAGGCAGCATCAGACCTCCACCGCCGCCTCCTCGAGTGAAAATGCAAAGCACTGAAGTGCAGACGGAATTCAAACGAAAAGGAACCAGATGCATTGTGTGCCCGTTCTGTAGAGTGTATTGTGACTACGGCAAAGAGCAATTTACATAATAAAGAACATCATTTGAAACCTGTGTGTTCTGTTTTGTTGTTGTTGTTGCCCGTTCTGAAGACTTTTTTGTGACTACGGTAAAGAGCAATTTACCTAATAAAGAACATCACTTAAAACCTTTGTGTTCTATTTTGTTGTTTTTGTTGTTCATCTGGGTCCAGATGCGACATCAGAGCATTCAGTACAAGCCCATTTAAGCTCAGTCTCCCTCCTGAAAAACCAGCAAAGTCTTCACGCTGACGGTACTCGTTGTCATCTGGTTAACTACTCTTTTTGCATTTACCCAGAGTCTCCAGTGGCGTACAGGACAGGTGGACACTCCAAGTCAATCTCTCCAGGTATGGGTGTTCAGGACCTTCAATTTTACTTGTTGCCTCGTGCCACAGGCGAGAGACCAACTCTTGCACCACAAACTCCCGAGACACAAAGTGCCACTATTCGGATGAGTACTCCCCATGTACAAGTCCCAGAACTCTGTTCAACCGTTAGGTTATTTTTGGACCCCTGATAACAGCCAGGGGTGAGAGTTGGAAATTCAAATAACTCGCCTTCTGTGTTGGGACATAGTTTTATGGTTCCTCCTCCACTTCTGTCGGCTCTGTGGCTAAGTCGATGAGAACGCTTCGTAATGCCGGGATGCCGGGTTCGATCCCAGCTGCGGGCCAGGCGCCTTGCGTTGGTTTCGACAGTGGTATCAACAAAGTCGACCGTCCAGAAAGCAATGACAAACTACTGGACGTAAATTTGCCTAGAAAAACCACACAATAGCCAGGGGCTGTTGGGGTTGGTTTTGTAACGTCCTGTAAAGGATACGCAACTTACCTAACCTCCACTTCTGGACTTTTAAAGTTCTCCGCGCCCCTCCGTTTTACAGATCTGTATGCAGATTGTTGGTTTCTTGCCTCTCATGCGGATGCACTCCGACTTTTAAAGAAACACTCCTAATTAGTCATGGTTTTTTTAATGACATGCTTGCTAGTGGGCAAATGGAAAAACCATAACTAAATATGACAGATAGTAAAGAAACAGTCTACACACAAGACAGCCAGATAACGAACGGTCGCACTAAACTATCACACATCATACATACTTTCGTCACTGGCTCGCCGCAGAGACACGCCCCCTGTTATTGTTCTTTCGAGTTTGTTGTACTTGTCCCGTCTTCGACAAGAGATGATTTATGACGGCACTTCAGGCGCAGATTTTGTTCAGACAACACACCGTCTCTCGCGCTGACACGGACTACACGTGAAATGACCTTAGCGATTTAGAGCTTGGAGAACATACATCTCGTGTGTTTTGTGACAGGGACATTACGAGTGAACACAGGGAGTTTTTACAAAATGAATGGAATATATTTGACTCTCCCTTTGAGTCTCTTATTGTGACTGATTTCTTAGAATGGATGTACTAGTGGATGATCATGGCTTTCAGGGAACGTTGGGTAAGTTCAAGTGTCAAATCAGGCATGACAGTGGGGGAAACAATTTATGAATTTATGACACAGATGTCGGATTTCAAGGGATAATATGGATGTTGTGGGTTCGGGTCTCTGCATGAGACGATCGCAGAGACGAGTCTCGTTTGAAACAGGTTTCGGTAACTTACGGCACTTGAGCCAACCGTGGATTGTGTGGAAAATGTAAATTGAAGTATAACGCGTGTTCTCCTTACAAAATATTACAGGTACATATTTTTTTTTGGGGGGGTGGGGGGGGGGGGGGGTGGGTTCTATAATTCATCTCCACTGGGGGTTCTTGACCCCTTCGTGGTGCAGGGGTAATGGGCAAGGGGTGGAAAGGTGGGGGGGGGGGGGGGGGGGGGAAAGAATGGACCCACTTAAAAAGAATAGTGAAAGTGAAACAACGGTTTGTTAAAATGTGATGCCACGGCCGAAAAGCTCAGCGTAGAGGTAAATCATAGCATTGCGAGCTGTTAGAAGCAAACAGAGAAGAAGAAGAAGTAGCAGAACAACAACAACAACAATAATAACCACAACAGCAGCAGCAACAACAACAAGAAAAAATAAGGAGCATGAAGAAGAGAATGAGAAGAAGAAGACGAATAATAATCGGGCATATGTCTACAAGCTAAAGTGCTGGTACTTCCCACAAAAGTGACTGAAAAGGACAGGTCGCGGTCAACCGAGTGCTAATTCATCATCATAATACTCCGACATCTTCTAGCCACCCAGGACACTGACAGTACCCATTACAATTGTCTATTGCAATAGCGCTGACAACCTTTTTTTATGTCACCGTTGTGGGTTTTTCTAGGCAAACATTACTTTCAGTAGTTTGCCATTGATTATTTAATATTCTGCTCTTCGCACCACTGTCAAAACTAACGCAAGACATATCGTCCGCATATGGGATTGAACCTGGCACCCCAGCATTACGAAGCGTGCTCGCAACGCCTAAACCACAGACTCCGACCCTTACATACTGCCAGAAAAAAAGCTATGATGGAAATAACAATAATAAAAAGAAGAAGAAGAAGAAGAAGAAGAAGAAGAAGAAGAAGAAGAAGAAGAAGAAGAAGAAGAAGAAAAAAAAAGAAGAAGAAGAAGAAGAAGAAGAAGAAGAAGAAAAAAAAAGAAGAAGAAGAAGAAGAAGAAGAAGAAGAAGAAATAGAAGAAGAAAACGAAGAAGAAGAAACAAAGAATTAGTAGTAGTAGTAGTAGTAGTAGTAGTAGTAGTAGTAGTAGTAGTAGTAGTAGTAGTAGTAGTAGTAGTAGTAGTAGTAGTAGTAGTAGTAGTATAGTAGTAGTAGTAGTAGTAGTAGTAGTAGTAGTAGTAGTAGTAGAGTAGTTAAAAAAGAAGAAGAAGAAGACGAAGAAGAAGAAGAAGAAGGTGAAGAAGTAAGAGGAGGTGTCACTAATTCTCAGACAGAATACAAAAGCCAAGTTTGTGAAACACTAGACGGTCATGGAAATGCATAAGGAACGTGAACATGAGTTTTCTAGTGCCCTGTTTTGTGACAAAGAATGAGAGATCTCAGTAAGTAAAAGTAAAGGACCCTTTTCCTCGCCTTTAGGCGTATTGGCATATAGGGCTAGACCTATATTTTATAGACCGATAGGCACATAGTAGGCGATGTGGTGAGCATCACGCCGGCCGCCTCAACTTCCCATGACTGCACCTATTACCCACTCAAGGCTGGGAGCCAAGGTCATTTTAAAAAAAAACCTTGTTCCGTCAAGACCCGAACCCATATCCTTCAAATGGGCAGGCGAGCGTTTAGCTGATACACCACGGCCACTCCCTTTAGTGAGCGGTACTCACAATAATGTGTCCACACACACACAAAAGGTGTTGGTACTCACCATAATGTGTCCACACACAAACACAAAAGGTGTGGGTACTGACCTTAATGTGTCCACACAAACACGAAAGATGTGGGTACTCACCATAATGTGTCCACAAACACACACAAAAGGTGTGGGTACTGACCTTAATGTGTCCACACAAACACAAAAGGTGTGGGTACTCACCATAATGTGTCCACACAAACACAAAAGGTGTGGGTACTGACCTTAATGTGTCCACACAAACACAAAAGGTGTGGGTACTCACCATAATGTGTCCACACACACACACAAAAGTTGTGAGTACTCACTATAAATATATATTATAGTTATGCCAAAAATGCCTGAAACGAGGTGCCGGTACTGTAAACCATTGCGTACTCTCATGAATAAACCGTGTTTGTGAGCAGCCTTCTGTAAAAGACATGTTTCCACTTAAGGCGAACTCGTATATGTCGAATTTCGGTTAAGTCGACATGGCCAGCTTAGTCCCGGCGATTTTCTCTATTGTGTGTGCTGTCTGGGTAAGTAGAAATCCTGATAAGTGGAAGCATGTTCTTAGGTCCCTGCGACTCCTTCTTATCCAGACTCGACTGTAAATGGTGAATTTGTGCATCGTCGTCAAACGAGGCAGGGAGTCACAAGATCACAAGGAAGTGTCGGTTACTGATTCATTATTGGTCTAGGAATCGACATCTTAGAACACAGGATATATCCATAAACGTCCCCGTCTCCCGCAGCAAATATCTTCATTTGTAGATGGTAACTTTTCCCGTAGCACACTGATTATACACACGTCGATCTCTTCCTCATAAATGTCCCTCCTTGCTGGATCCATTGATAATTCCTCGTTCACAGTGCCTATCAATACACTTTCTGTTACTTGATTAATTCTGATAAAATCTAGCATCGTGTCTTCAACAAGTTCATTTCTGGTCTTCATCATTTTCTCGTTTGTCCAGTCTAAAATTCCATGTAATTGTCTCTTTTGTGACAAAAAAATTACGATGTTGTTAATCAGTTGCTGATTAAAACCTTTACACCGTTTGTATTTGGTGGTGTCGGCTATAAGAACGGAAAGTCCCCCGGACCGGAATCTGTGTGAAAGCCGTCATTGTGTAACATTGAATCCGGTGCCGTCTGCGACACCGGCTACGGTTTTGCCGGTGTGTGTTAAAACGGCCTAAGCGGTCCTAATCTCTTAAAAGATTTAGGTGCCTCCATATAAGTTATTGCATTCATCATCATTATCAGTTTCAACTTCCGCCGTATGTATCATTTCAAACTTTGTCTCGGATGGTAAAGTTGGAGGCTTTTTTGAGGCATCTAATTCCACAGGTGTTTCGTTACGTAAGTTCATCATCATCAGGTGCCTTGCGACTGGCATGGGCGATCATGCCTCTCCATTAATTTGCGATCTCCTGCAGCATGTATCAGTTCGTGTGCCGACACACCTCCATGCCATGCAACAAGACTGTCAAGCATCTTCTCTCGTTGTCTTCCTCTATCCCTTTTTCCACAGATCAACATGTTCTATTTTCCCTCTTCTCATAACATGGCCGAAAAATGATGACTGTCTCCTTCCGATGTCTGTTTTAAGTTGTCTTCGGGCTCCCGCCTCTTTCAAAACCTCTTGGTTGCTCTTTTTGGCTGTCCAATGTATTTTTAAGCATTCTTCTGTAAAACCACATC